ACACACACACACACACACACACACACACACACACACACACACACAAATATTAATGTAAGGCCATTTTTGTTTATTTCAGTTGGTTGTTTTGTGGATCTTTAAAAGAAATGAGTTTTATGTTCTTAACAGCAACTCAAAGTTTATAGAAACTCTTGACCCTGCATGTAYTGTTGGTTTCTTGTTGAAAACTGGTGTTAGTTTGATCACAACAGATTCATTTGGGATTATGTGCCTGTAAATGTAATATTATCTGTAATGAAGCTGAGGTACAGGTCAGTTTCCACAAACAACACACTCAGAAACCAAACTATTCATCAGCAACCATAAATTATTGTAATATGTTTGATCTAGTGTCACACACCAGGCATCAGTGCTCTTGCTCTGTTCCTCTCAGCGTTGCCATCTTTCAGAGCAGTGCTGTAGTCTGCATGCTTCGCCTGCCGCTGACTTATTAACTGAAACACCAGAAAAAAAGTCTCTTTCAGAACATTTAGTGAGAGAAATGAATTTGACAACCAAAGGAATTTGAGCAGGTAAACACCTTTAACTGTTTGTCCATGCGTGTCCTGCCGGTGGGACCGGGTGTCAGGAGGCCTGACACATACGTGTGGAGAAGCTCTGCGGTGACTAAGGTGTCCCGGCTCAATATGGCCTCTGCCAAAGCATCATGGATGAAGACATACTGCTCCTGGTAGGAAGGAGAGACAAAATACTTCTGCCACCTCATAGAGCAATCTAAAGGTTCATCAATAGACTTGTTGAATCTTAATTATAAACATGCTTGAAGGTTTATTTTGAGTWGTAAGTCTCTAAAATGAAGGTGGATTCCCCATCAAAAGTGTTTGTTTACCTCTGTCTGAACCAAAAAGTTTCTCTGAGTCCGAACGTGTTTCAGGAAGCCAAGAACATTCACCATCCCCTGATCCTGGATCTGCTGCAGCATGCTGTCTATCACTATGTAGGTGCCCGTTCTTCCTACACCAGCACTGCAACATAAACACATCACACATTATTTTAAAATTATTTTAAAGACACTTTATGAATGAGCCTCAAAGTTAAGAACAAACAATTGTAGAGACGTTCGTTGATAGCAAATATTTGCAGATGATACAGTACAATGGCATCATCCGCATACAATTGGTACTAAAAATAAAAAAAATTACAATTTCATACCATAGAATTTATAAATAACTTAAAACAGCAACAAAGCAATTTAAAGAGCTGTAAACATTTAGGTAGTTTGTTGTTTTTTTAAAGCAGGAGAAAATTGGTCCTGAAATAGAGCCTTGTGGAACACCTAATACGCAAATTTGAAAGGTTGATTTTTATCCCATTAGGTTTGACATATTGTTTTTATAAGTGCGAACTTTTAGCTTTTTGGGAAAAAAAGTACATTTATTTATTTAGGTTTAAGTATTTTATGATTTATTGTATTAAAGTCCTTTTTAGGTCTAAAAAATGCTACTTTAATGTTTTTGCGATTTTCTATTATAAAAGCATTTCACAGTTTTGTTGATCATTCTTGACAAAACCCAAACTGTTTTGGATGAATCAAAAAGAACAATAAGTAGGTCATCTGGATGGGTTCTTCTTTAGTGAAATGTTTTGTCTCTCCTCCAAGAGACTTCTTCAGTC